ACCTGTTGCGTTGCTCTAGCAAGTGAAGGTAAGGCTTCAGTATTCCCAGGAGGAGGGGGGGAGGGGGGGAATGGTCGTGGTGGTGATTGGGGAGAAGTGACGTGTGTGTGTGTGTGTGTGGGGGGGGGGGTAACTGGTGGTGGGAATATGACACCCGTTCCACCCCAAGGGCCCTCAACAGGCACCCGTTCCACCCCAAGGGCCCTCAACAGGCACCCGTTCCACCCCAAGGGCCCTCAACAGGCACCCGTTCCACCCAAGGGCCCTCAACAGGCACCCGTTCCACCCCAAGGGCCCTCAACAGGCACCCGTTCCACCCCAAGGGCCCTCAACAGGCACCCGTTCCACCCCAAGGGCCCTCAACAGGCACCCGTTCCACCCCAAGGGCCCTCAACAGGCACCCGTTCCACCCCAAGGGCCCTCAACAGGCACCCGTTCCACCCCAAGGGCCCTCAACAGGCACCCGTTCCACCCCAAGGGCCCTCAAAACGCACCCGTTCCACCCCAAGGGCCCTCAACAGGCACCCGTTCCACCCCAAGGGCCCTCAACAGGCACCCGTTCCACCCCAAGGGCTCTCAACAGGCACCCGTTTCACCCCAAGTGCTCTCAACACACACCTGTCACACATGGAACCAACCCATAAAACTTGATAAACACCTCCAAAAGCACATCTGATCAACCGAGCTACGGCGTCGAACAGCCTGGTTGACCAGACCATCCAGGAGGCCATTTAGGAGACCGGGCTGTGAGGGACAAGGATCCACGGAGCCCGTTAACATCAAGGTAAGGTGCCAAGGTCAAATCTGCCTCCTAACTCGTCACCTGAACAGGAAGTAGAGCAAGAGATAACAAAGGTGATGGGACTGACAGACTAATGGGGGCTCTGTCGCCTCCTGTCTCAGTGTGTAGGCTGGGAAGGAAGAGGGGGGAGGGGGAGGATGAGGTGGGGGGGGAGGATAGGGAAGTGGAGGAAGAAGGGAAGGGGGATGGGGAGGAGGAGAAGAAGAGGGGAGGGGAATGAAGGAGGGGAAGGGAAAGAGGTAGATGGTTGTGAAGGAATAGAGGAAGGGGAAGTGATGGGAAGAGGGTGGGGGAAAATGGGAGAGGGAAGGCCATGGGATAGAGGGAAGGGAAAAATGGGATGGAGGGAAAGACGGGAGATGGGAAGGAAATGAAGAATATAAGAATAGGAACTGGCATAATAACAGAGAAGGGATAGGAAAGAATAACAAGTGACCATGTGCTTGACCTTGACCTTATTTACTTTGACCACCCTCCCCCCCCTTCCCCTACACACGTGGCAGCTGCTATATAATTTTGGGGTCCGGGGTTCGAGTCTCCTTGAGCCCAGGTGAATCTAAGTATCTAACATTCTTACTAAAAATAATAATAATTATGAGGTTCTTTAAGCCTTTGAATATAAAATCCCGCTTCCCTCCACAGCTTTTCCAGACGAGCCATATAAATCCCACCTGCACGCACACACACACGCGGTCGCACGCGCGTGCACTGTTTTTATTGGGCCATCACCGGAGTATGCAGCTCCCGCCTGGAATCCACACAGTGTGACGCATAAAACTAAAATTGAAAAAGTTAATAGGTTTGCGAGTAGATCCGTCACAGCGCAAAGATGGTTACGAGGATTGGTTGAAGGAACTGGACCTCCCAATCGTGGAGGACAGGAGAAACAGTGGAGATATGTTCGCAAAATACAAGATACTGAGAGGAATAGATGAGGTGGACAAAGATAGGCTCTTCAAACTGAGAGAAGATACGACGAGAGGAATTGCATGGAAGCTGGAAACATAAACCAGTTGAAGTAATGTAAGGAAATACTGGTATCCCTATGCCCGTGTTACCTAGCAGTAAATAGGTATCTGGGAGTTAGTCAGCTGTCACGGGCTGCTTCTGGGGGTGGAGGCCTGGTCGAGGACCGGGCCGCGGGGACACTAAAGCCCCGAAATCATCTCAAGATAACCCCAAGAGATCTCAAGAAGATCCCCACACAAGTAGTCAACCAGTGGAATGCTCTACAGATAGTTGTGGAAGCCACCTCCAGCCACAACGTTAAGGCAGATCCCACAAAGAATCCGAGCGTCAGAATAGTTACGTTGAAGCTCAACAGCTACAACATGACCAGTAGGCCGGGCTTATAGGGCAAGACCTCACTCCTCTCCTCTCCTGTTCACTAATAGGTGATTAGTGATAGACAATTACGCGCACGACGGTTAGAAAAGCTGGGTCTAACAGCTTGATCGTGCAGGCACAAGCACAGCAAACCCCCCCCCCCCCCACACACACACACACACACACACTCCTGTTCTAGTGACACGTTGTAAGAACTCTTGTATATATAAATAAATAAAAATACAAAAAAGTCCACTAAAATGTTTTGGCGATGTTTTTGCAAGGCTTTATGAAGACGGTGAGTAGTGGGAAGAACAGGACACCGTGGTAAGAATGGTAAGAATATGAAGTATTCTCCCCTGAAAAAACAGCAGGGTTAGGAAGGCGGGATTAAGAAGAGTTGTGAGCTGGGGGTGGGTGATGAGATGGAGGAAGGTAGAGAGAGAGATGAGGGCGTGAATGAGATGAAAAAAACTGGATTAGCAAAGGATAACAACAGAAGAGTAAAAAAAAAACGAGAGATGGCCGTCAGGAGGAGAAGGGGGGAGGAAGGATCCACAAGAAGGACAGAAAGAGCAACACAGAGAGACAAAGACGAACGATTAACAGGTGGTCGCGTGAAGGAGGCAGAAGAAACGAAGAGAGAGAGACGAAAAACACAGCAACATACGTGTCCAGGAAAGATAAAGTATAATCATGGCTATCTGAAAGAGGAGGAACCACTACGGTATGGAAAGGGCAGAAGAAAGTGGTGAAATTTGTTTATAAAATACATATATATAACAATATAACGTTTTGAGGAGTTGTGGGTGGTAGCGCCTCTCTAGGAAGAGGGGGTTTTAGAGGGGGAGGATGAAGAGGGGGAAGAGGAGGGGTACGAATGTTTTCACAGGTCTGGAGGCGTGGGCATAGATGGTATCAGCTGGTGGGGGTGGTGGAGAGGAGGTGAGAGGAGGAGGGTTGGAGGGGGGGGGGGTAATAGGGAGGTATGCCCCCACCACACAATCCCCCTCCCTCCCCCCCACCTTGCTACCCCCACACATGACCTGGTGAAGCACACCGCCACTTTTTGTACTCCTTGTTTCTCCCTATGTGACTCTTCCCAGGGGCTTCTTACGCCATGTGGACGCTCCTTAACTTTGCTCGCGTCCCTTCCCCTCATTCCCCCCCTCCCCCCTCCCAACACTCCGGGCTCCCCCCTCTCAGCGACCTCAACCCCCACCCACTACCGTAACCTTAACCCCCCCCTCTTTCCTTTCTCAACTCGTATACTTACGCCTCAACAATCATCACCATTCCACTAGGAATGGTGATGATTGAATAGGGTAATAGGAATAGGGTATCATCAAACCCTAAATCGGTCTGGCAGCTATCTCAAGCCGTTCCATACCGTCACCCGCATCTTGCCTCCATACCCCCCCTCCTCCTCCCCTTTCATTACCCTCAATCATCCATCATCTCTTGTCCAAGCCCATCCCCTCGTCATCCCTCTCCCATCAATCTATCTCAACCCCGCCCATCACCATCCGCTCCCCACCATTGCAAACCCATTACTATCTTTTTGGAGTGCCTAGTGACACAAGCAAAGGGGGGTTTTCCTAATGACTTATTGTCCCTTGACACACACACACACACACACACACACACACACACACACACGCAAGAATGTTTACATGCACACACAATGATGGACAGCCCTCTATTAAATGACAGAAGATCAAGACAGGAGGGCGACAGAAGCAGCATTACAACTACTCTCATAGTAAAAGGGGCAACTTCTGTGGCCTGAAGGACTGGATCTAGAAATGTTACTCGTCTGAGATTTCAAGCATGTAAAGATAGACTGGGCCCACACATGGAGGCACGAAAGGCCGAGGCAAAGAGGAACTCATTACACCTTATCATTTTGACCATGTCGTAGCTCAGTCGATTAAGGCAGCGTCTGGCATGCTCTCGGACGCAGGTTCGAATCCTCGTCACGGCCCTTGTGGATTTGTTCAAAGAAGAACTCCCATAGTCAAGGGACCCCCCCACAAAAAAATGAGAGGTAATGAACTCTAATTGATATTCATCTGAACGAGTCAGACACAAGGAGAGTCAAATGGGTAGTCTCAATGTGATAGAGTGATCACTTGGTGTTGGTATTTGAGTGCTTAGTTGAAGTCGGAATATCCAATTCAAGGAAAGGGCCAGAAGGCAAAAGGCTCGTATACCGAATGGGAAAGATATGATTACCACACACAAAACTCTCAGGGGAATAAATATCGCAGACAAGAACAGACTAACACAGCAGGTACTGCAACTGGAGGATACGGGTGGAAACTGAGAATACAAAAAAAAAAGAGAGCCGCCGAGACATTAGAAACAGTGTTTTAGAGTACGGGTAGTAAACAAATGTGATGCACTAAGAAGTGAGGAAGGAGGGGGAAGGAGGGGGGGGAGGGGGAAGGAGGGGGGGGATGGGGAAGGAGGGGGGGATGGGGAAGGAGGGGGGGGGGGGATGGGGAAGGAGGGGGGGATGGGGAAGGAGGGGGAAGGAGGGGGGGGAGGTGGGGGTTCAGGAGTCCATACTGCAGGGGGGTATCAAGTGTATATATGATGGAGCCCAATAGGCTCAGGTACTTCAACAGCAGTTGAGCGACAGTCGAGAGGCAAAAACCAGAGTACAACTAGGTGGGTACGTACTCTCTCTCTCACACACACACACACACACACACACACACACACACACACACACACACTATGAGGTACTTGGCTGTGCCCAAGTCTCTGTTCCCGTCAACTCAACAACCCCCCCCCCCCTCCACCCTCCTCTTCCTCTCCTACATCTCCCCCTCTCTACATTCCCCCCCCCCTCTCCACAGTATATATGACATTCAAAATATCTCCAAAGTAAGCCTATACAAGTATTCCCATCAACAAATACTTTGTTTGAAAAGAATACTAAACAAATACCCACACTCAGTTAAAGCAACATTAAAGGAACATTTGGTATAATTCGGAATAACACAATTACCAAAATAATCAATGATTATAATGAGCACCTGACCACCCCCCCCCCTGCCTCACCATGAAAAAAAAATAATAAAATGATTCCATTCCTTTTATTAGACAAATTCTTGGACTGCTAGTTCAGAAGTCGACTTCAATCCTCCAGGAAGCCATCAGACCTAAGATACCAAGCCTCATTCCTTGGAAGTTTGCACGGAATGGGGTCCAGACATTCTTCGATATGCCTGGAACTATTTTTGAGGGCATTCCAGGGTGTTTCAATCGAAATCTCTCTCAAAGGGCTTTTTAGAAGATATATTTTTTTTCAATACTGATTTTAGGTATAAAGATTTTCCAGGGTGTTCTAACGTAAGTAAATATATATTGGTGTGCATTAAAAAGAATATTTTCTTATTATTTTAGTGTGACTAACACTCCCATCAGAGCGGTAGTTATAAGATCTGGGAAACCTGTAAAGTTTAACTAACCTCAACCCCATTACAATACACACATTAACTACTCGACTGCCAAG